AGTGATCCTCCTGTCTCAGGCTCCCCAGTGCCGGCATTACAGGCGTGTGCCACCATGCCCAGTTTCAGGGTCACGCAGCACGCCTGGGGTTCCATGGCCAGCATGGCATACGATACCGGGGATTGAACTCGGGTCCTTGTGCTCGCCAGGCAGGTGCTTAGACTGCCAAGCTATCTCCCCAGTCCCTTTAGATCTTTTCAAGTAGCAAGTGAATGGATTTACTAGGTTCAGTAGCACAGGTGATACTGACCTTATGTGCATGTGAATTACTGGCTCAAGAATTCCAAATGAAACTGGTAATTATCCATACTGAAGGCACAGAGCCTAGGAGAAAGTATTTGATTGGCTCAATACTGCAAATGAAGTTATAAAGTTATAAAAAGCATCAAAGTCACAGAGACAAATAGCCACCCAAAGAAGGTAAAACACACAAACTTACTCAAGAAATAACATGCCAAAAAGTGTACTGAGAGCCAGAACAGAGTCACCTGCATGACCCTGCCAAGAGTGGCACCAGGTGGGGAATGATTTTCCTTGAATCATTTTTTTTTAAATTAGCCTGTGTATTTAGTCTATCCAAAGTACTCAGGGCTAACCAGGCAAAGTGGGTGCTATCAAAAGCAGTATAATAATTTGCTGAATTAACTTAATGAAATGAATGAAAACATCCTTAGGACAATCTTTAGGAGCTTATGATATAGCTGGGAGGCAAAATTAATGCAAAACGAAGCTAGTTATAAAATATTTTATTTAAGTATAGTATGTTGTCACATTAGGGCAAGGGTGTGATTTCTTAATTTATATATATTTTCATTTAAAAAGCTTGCAAAAACATCTCAGTAATGTAACATACTATTCTTGAATATCCTGAAGAGTCTTGTCCCTTTACTGGACAACAGAAGCATATAAATTGAACGATCTGCTTTGCACAAATTATTTCCCCTCCGAATGATTAGTTATGAGTTCACTCTAAAATGTTAAGGTAAGCATCATATTTATGAATGTAAAGTACATTTTTGTGATACTGGAGATTGAACCTAGGGAATGTCAGCATTCTTTATCTTTTAATTTTGATTTAATTTAATTTTTTTTTTAATTTTAACAGGGTCTCATTAAGTTGTCCTGGCTGGTCATGAACTTGCAATTCTCCTGACTCCGTCTCCTGATTTGCTGGAACACCAAGTATATGTCACAACCCCTGGCCCACAAAACACTCTGAATGCTATTTTTAACAGCTCACCATATTGAATTTTGGGGAATAAGAAGAAAAAAAAAGTACTTCCTATATTCATGACATCTGTGCAGCTCATTACTGCACCAGATATTAAAACCTTAATACTGCTGCATATACATGAAGCCTCATCACCTTTCAGAATTTCTAAAGTACAGGCCAAATGCTCCATACTTAAATTTTCACATTATTTGTCCACTTGCTTAACCAAGGGTAATGGCTCTCTGAGAAAGAGTCTACCTTCATGTCTTTATCTAACTAATACTATTCTTCCTAACCTACAGAAAACTGTTGGCCTAAGTGTATGCCCCACAATAAAGTGTTTAACTTTAACATGGCTGCTAAAACACTGAGAACTAATCACTGTTCTGTACATACTCTTATTTTGGCAAAAGTTAAAAAAGTTAGCATCTAAAAAACTCAACCAGAGGCTGAGGCGATAGCTCAGTTGAATAAGTACTTGCCTGGCAAGCACAAGTCCCAAGTTCAATCCCTGGTACCACCAAAGAAAATTAAAATAAAAAATTCAAACAGATACAGTGAAAAAATTCATCATAATTGAGATAAAATATGAAAGTTAACACCTGTTTACATGCCTTGCAAAATGTCTCCACGGTAAAATTAGTACAGCCCACAAGTAATCAACAGGAGATGACACACACCCTTTAGCTGAAACACAGCTGGTCACACAATGTTCTTTTCAGACAGTCATATAAACATAAGAATCAACATTTGTGGAATCAGTATGTTTGATTAGTACATGCCACCCCCAGGTAGGTATCATTTACAATCAATAGTCAAAGTGACTCAAACCACCATTATAACAAACAGTCTCTAATTACATCACAAGCTGTAACCCTCCATCCACCACTAGAACATGTCCAGTAACATACGGAGACTCTAAAAGAAACACAACTGCATGGGCTACTTCAAGGGCTTCTCCAAACCTCCCAAGAGGGATGTTTTTCTTCAACTGTTCCTCTTTCAAGTCTTTCGTCATATCTGTACGGACAAATCCTAAAAGAAAAATATTTAGTTAAAAAGAGTAGACACTAAGGTATCTGATCAAATGAATTTACAAGCGAAAATGAGATGAATAAACCTTGTTTATAAGTCAGAATCCTGTTGCTAATTAAATAATTATGTCTACAAATTTACTCACTTTAACTCAATGACATTCACTAGACACTGAAATATCTTACCCCAAGTACTTGGCCCAACTCCTAGCAAAAATGTAAGAGTCATGGGTGGATTCAATGTAAGTGAAACAAAATTCTATTCCTTGGGGAAAATATTTGTTGGAGGAACAGTCACTTGCACAGCCAGTTATGTCAAACATCAACTGAACATCCTACAGAGGTATAAATCAAATGCCACAAAAATTATTTTTACTTGGGTAGGGGCAGAAGAGTGAGAGGTAGTGTGAAAGGAAGAACACATCACCAAGGTTGTCACACAAACTGATGTGGCAATTCTGACAAAAGCTACACACTTCTATTTGCTACTAATAACTGTGATTAGAAAGCCCAGTATTTCAAATATCTGTACAAAAAGCAATCGAATGATCATATCCAGTTCTAATACATATATATACAAAAAATTCAAAATTAAAGTTGGTACACATAGGCAGTAAGGGTTTAACAGAACGTGTTGCTAAGTTCTACAGTATATAAAGTACCATACAGTCCATTATGAAACTAATTCTAAGTTATTTAGGAAGAACAATGATAAATTTATGATAAAATCATGTCTGAGACTTATTAATACATGTTACTAATAAAATGCTTAACTTGTAGCCAATATTTGGTATACCACTGAATCATTCAGGTTTTAAAACCATTGTACTATTAATCTTGGTGAAAGCAACAATTTGAAAAACACTTTTAAAGGCAGGGTTGCAAAAAACAGTCTAAGTCAGATACAACACATGAAAGTTCCATGTACAAACTCAAAAATAAAGTTTTAAAATTAGCTTCTGTTAAAATTAAAACATTCACAATTCAAACTATAAATCAAGCTGAGTATACCATCATTTAAAGTACCATTAAAGTACCATGATAAATGTGAGCTACTTACTAGATTAAAAATTAATTACCACTTGGCACAGTCCTATATACCCCTAACCCCATTTACGTAGGAAAATCACAGGCTTGAGGCTACCCTGGGCAGCATACCAAGACCGCTTTGCAGACAAATGAAAGAAAAAAAAAATTAAGGCAATGGGTTAACTTAACTAACTTTACTTTAGATTTCGCTTATAAATATCCATATATTTTCTTAAGTCCTGTAAGAAGTAATCATAGACTCTGTCATGGAGCCCGTGCCAGCAACAGACTATTGGGACAAAAACTGGAAACAAGTTGAAGGTCTTTGATGACATATCCACACAATAGAATGATGTGCCAATTTTAACAATGATTCCACAGAAGCATATTTAGGGCAAATGAAAAATAACATTTGTATATTTAGAAATACAAATGTTCAGTTATATCATTAGAACAAAACTAGACAATAACTAAAAATATACCAAAATACTAACAGTGATTATCATTAGTTACTGAAATAACAGGTAATGATTATTTTCTTTGTGCGTGCCTGCTTTCTGTCAAACTATCCACAACAAATGTATGTTATTTTTATGTTGAAGCAAAAAGTTACTGAATAGGATGCACAATACTAATTTTTGATGGTTTGCAATGGGGACCAGAAATGCTTTTGTATTGTTTCTGTGTTACACTGTGAGATTACACCATGAAATCCAACCCCCTCTGCCATAAAATCTTACACTTATTTGAAATGTCAGCAATATTTCCTTTGTTTCCTTTCATCTTTAAGAACAATGAAAGCAGGCAAGAATAAAAGGAGAAGCAGCTGACAGATAATGATAACCAGCCTCTCAGAATTCCAAGTGAACTGAAAAAGAAACTTCGAGTACAGAAGCCTAATAACCGACAGGCAATCCAATCACCTTCGGGACACTATCACAGGGGTTCATGACAGTTTTCTTGCCTTGGACAAGCTTATTTTCAAAACTGCCTCAGAGAACAGCCTAGGAAGAAAACTCACCTCACATCTATTACAAAACTTCAGTTAAAATTATGAATATAACATTAAAAAGTTCATGCTGTCTTCTCAAAGAGCTTATGACACAATTAGCCACTATTCTAAGGAATTTCTGAATTCCAATAAAGTTGACATAAAATACTCGCCACTAACTCCAACTCTGCGCAGAAAAATTACTGATTTTTGTTTGTTTTTGCAGAACTGAGGATTGAACCTGGGGCTTCTGTATTGAGCTACATCCCCAACCCTTTTTATTTTTTAAGGCGAAGTCTGTGAAGTTGTCCGGCCTGGCTTCAGACTAGCTTTTCTCAGCCTCCCAAGTAGCTGTGATTATGGGAATGTGCCACCACACTCGGCTAATAATGCAGTGTTTGAGATAGGGTCTCGTTATACAACCTTGGCTGGCCTCAAACTCACAACCCTCCTGCCTCCGTCTTCTCAGTTCTTGGAACTACAGCCATGTGCCACCATTCCCAGTTTAAGTACTTATTCTAATCTAAAAAAAAAAAAAAAAAAGCAATGGTTGTGTTGTGCAAAACAGTGCATTATGAACCCAGATAACAGAGATGTGACAAAAAAAAAAAATATCTAAGCTGGGTGCACACCTATAATGCCAGCACTGGGAAAGCTGGAGCACGGGACCTTGAGTTCAAGGCCAGCCAAGACATACAGGTCCAGAGCAGCCTGGACTACAGAATGAGACTCGGTTACTTACTTGCTTACACACACACACACACACACACACACACACACACACACACAGTGTACACAGAGAAAACTATTGCAGAAATAGTTTGCAATAAAGACCCTTCTGAGTATGGATTAGAAATTCCAGGCTCAGCTACCAACTGGCTCTGCTGGCAGTATTTTCTAGAAAAAGATGACTGCACTAGGACACATTAAACTATGAACTCAGGAAAGTTATCTACAAACATATACCTGCTCTGTATCATAAAATGAAGGTACATTAAAAATGATAGCTCTTTGAGGTTTCTTTTATCTCTACAACTCTTTGATTTAAAGATGAAAAGTATGCCTCACTAAGTAGTCCTCATGGTTTCCTAATTTTAGCTGACATTTAGGAGAGGGTGCTCTCCTAGGAGACAGCTTTGGGCATCAGACACAAGGTACAGCCACACAAGGTGGGACTGGTAAAAGAGGAGGGCCAGGCTCTCCGAGTCCAGCTAGGCTGCACACAGTCCAGCACTCAGATTGCTGTGTTCAGCCGCCACCTCACAGGGAGATTCTGCTGCCGCTGCTCATGCCAAGAAGATAAGGACATTACTCCATTAGTGGGAGCTCGCTACAGCCTGTCTCCTGGTCTATGAGCACATGGCTGGCATGGCCGCTTCGCACCACAGACAGCTGTTAGCCATCAGCAAATAGGTGATGACAGTCCAAAAGCAAAGTGGGTGCAAGGCCAAGTTAAAAGGAAGAGATGAATTCACCACAACATGCTGGCTTTTCCTCTTAGATTGTTTGATATGGAGGACAAGAAGATGTTTAAAGAACCTTTCTTGCATCATTACCTGCAGCTCGTTGTCAATAGCCTATGTTTAGTGCAATTTTAGGTTTATAGGAATATTAAGCAGAAAGAACAGAAAGGCCCTACCAATTCCATACCAAGAGGCTCTTCACCTGTTTTTCCCTTTAACTAACATTTTACTTCCATGTGGCTTATTTGTTACAATGGATGAACCAATATTGATACAATATATATTTTTTATGAAGACAGTACAAGGGCTGGCCAGATAGCTCAGCAGATTAAAGTGCCTACTTAGGCAGACCCAGAGACCAGGATGCAATCCCTGGTGTGCCATGCTAGCTCTGCCCCTGGGGTGTGCTAAGATGGCAATTGAGTCTGGGTGTGTGACCCCAGCTCTTGGGAGGCTGAAAACAGGAGGATCACTATGAGTCTGATCTGTGTAGTGAGACCCTGTAGACCCTGCACTAAATACAAAAAAAAAAGTATAAAATAGTATTAAAACAGAAAATTACAAGTGATACAGAATTTCACTTAACAAAGTAATATGAATTTCACAGTATTTGTTGTAATGCAGTGTGGTCTTCCAACCACTTATTCAGATTACCATATATATGCATGAAAATTGGAAGAAGGAAAAAAAGAAATGTATAAGAAATTAAGAAAAAAAAATTGAAAAAAGGAGACAAAACAAATTAAGCATTATCTGCTCCTTTCCACAGGCCAGCAGAAATCCACAGTACAGTTGTCCAAACCATACTGCTTACAAACATAAATTTCTTTCTCCCACTCCTTCTCTTATCCCTTTCAATTCAGTAACTCTTTCCTTTTGAATGCTTATTCTCTTTTCTCAGTATCTATTGTACCCTTCAGGTTCCATTTTTTTCTTTTCTATGGTTGTCATACTAAGGAGACAATATGATGTTTGCACATGCGGGTCTGATTACTGATAAAATGTTAAGGAAAATCTAGGGTTTATATTAGGGTCAATTGATTAATTGATTGTGTCAACTTCAGTAAGAAATGCCCAACTGAACTGGCTCAGCCTGCTTCTGGGCGCGGGAGACCCACTCTAGGGAGGACCATCGCCACAATGGGATAAAGGGGAAAGAAGGAAGGCTGGCTTCTCTTTCTTCAGAGGAACTCAAGTCTGTGCCTTCACTTTGGGCTTTGTCTCCTGGCTTCCACTGCAGACCCGTCAGCCTCCTGATAGAGACACATGGAACCCTATGGTGAGACCCAGGCCTTGACTGGGCTGTTCGGATCCCAGCAAGCAGACAGCCCTGCTGCTCCCTTCACACCTGACTCCACAGGCAAGCACTGCAAGCCAATCTAGAAAATTCTTATACACTTGTATATCTTGCATTAAATGTTTCTCTAGTAAGCACTGACTGATACAGGTTTCATCTAGCTTGTACAGCTCTCTGTTTGACAAATGTACAATATTACATTACAACAACTATAATTACAC